GCCTGGAGTTTGCTAAAAAACACCTGAAGGACTCCAAGATGGTGAGAAATAAGATTCTCTGGTCTGATGAGACCAAGATAGAACTTTTTGGCCTTAATTCTAAGCGGTATGTGTGGAGAAAACCAGGCACTGCTCATCACCTGTCCAATACAGTCCCAACAGTGCAGCATGGTGGTGGCAGCATCATGCTGTGGGGATGTTTTTTAGCAGCAGGGACTGGGAGACTGGTCAGAGTTGAGGGAAAGCTGAATGGTGCAAAGTACAGAGATATCATCAATGAAAACCTGTTCCATAGCACTCAGGACCTCAGACTGGGCCGAAGGTTCACCTTCCAACATGACGATGACCCTAAGCACACAGCTAAAATAACGAAGGAGCGGCTTCACAATAACTCCGTGACTGTTCTTGAATGGTCCAGCCAGAGCCCTGACTTAAACCCAATTGAGCATCTCTGGAGAGACCTGAAAATGGCTGTCCACCAACGTTTACCATCCAACCTGACAGAACTGGAGAGGATCTGCAAGGAGGAATGGCAGAGGATCCCCAAATGCAGGTGTGAAAAACTTGTTGCATCATTCCCAAAAAGACTCATGGCTGTATTAGCTCAAAAGGGTGCGACTACTAAATACTGAGCAAAGGGTCTGAATACTTATGACCATGTGATATTTCAGTTTTTCTTTTTTAATAAATCTGCAAAAATGTAAAAAATTCTGTGTTTTTCTGTCAATATGGGGTGCTGTGTGTACATTAATGAGGAAAAAAATGAACTTAAATGATTTTAGCATATGGCTGCAATATAACAAAGAGCGAAAAATTTAAGGGGGTCTGAATACTTTCCGTACCCATTGTAATTACTAACAGGTATTCATGGAGAAAAGACCATCATCCTTAAGTCTTAAATGAATCTTACAGAATTTAAGAGGTTTATGCACATAGCAGCTGTTTTGATCACATTCAGAAATCCTTCCCAGTGTGGGTGGTCAGTCTTTTCAACAAGCTGGCTGCCCCGCCTCCAGCTGGCTTTTCATTTGTGAATTTGAAATGTTATATTAATACCTGGGACAGATGGTGTTCATGCTGCTGCCACACATTCAGCTGTTCACAGATCACTGCACAGTTAAGCTTCCTGTATGCTAATTAATTCCCTGGCTCTTATGTGCGGTGCCACTTCTGACATATTTTGGGCTTCTGCTGAAACCTAACATTTTCAGAAAACTCAACAGATTGTCAGAGATAAAGGTCGAATTATGAAGGCATATATGCAGTGGCTTTAGAAAGTATTCAGAGCCTTTCACTTTTTTGTTGTAATTAGTTTTTGCCAATGAATCTATACTCAATAATCCATAATGACAAAGTAAACATTTTTAGAAATGTTTCTAATGTATTAAAAATCAAAGTCTCTCATGTACAAAGATATTCAGATGCTTAAATCAGTACTTTGTAGAAGTTCCTCTGGTAGCAGTTGTCGGTCCCATTCTTCTTGTGCAAGTCTCCAAAGCATTACTGTGATCATCCTAACATTACACACCTGTGTTTGGGCATCCTCTAAAGCTCCATCAGATTGGATGGGAAGTGACTGAACTGTCATCTTAAGGTCTATCCACAGATGTTCTATGGGGTTTAAGTCTGGGCTTTGACTGGGCCCCTCAAGCCACTCCAGTGTTGTCTTAGCTGTGTGCTTTGGATCACTGTCATGGTGAAAGGTGAACTGTTGCTTCAGTATCAGGTCACTGCACTCTGGAGCAGGCTTCCTTCAATGACTTCTCTGTATTTGGCTGCATTCATCCATTGCTCAGTTCTGTCCATAAACTGTATATAAAGATGGACAATGTAGCATCTCCAGAAGCCACGGTGAGTCAACTGACCATCAGGGCTAGTTGAATGTGATCAGGTCATAAACCCCACCCCTCCATGTTAGCAGATGGGACAGCCTGTAAGCCAAATTAATAAATCAAAGTACAAATCTATACATTTTTTCAGAGGTGATTCCTGTCATTTTTGGTAGATATCGCTGATCTGTGTACAAGTGGTCATTTTTCTGGTAAGTTTGTTTTAATAAGTTATTTGATTATATAATAAGGGGTGTATTTCGGATGATTTGACAGCTTTGATTTGTGGCCTGATGCTGCCAGTCCACTTCTCATGGCTACTCCACAGGATCTGGTCGCAAAAAAGATGGCAGCCGCCACCTTCACAATATTATGGCTACAATATTTTGGCTTCACTTTTACATAGTGGGGGGAAGTGGTGACGCACTGTCCATTTTTACATACAGTCTATGGTTCTGACCAGTCTCCCTAGTCCTGCTGCTGAGAAGACATACCTAAATTTGAAATAAAAAGCCTACAGTTTCCCACAACCTAGGCTAAGATCTCTGAATGCTCGCACTGTTTTGAAAATATAAAATAATTAAATAATATATCAGAAACCCCAAAAGGCTTAATTTTTCATTATCTATCCCAGACTCTGGTCTGGGTGATGTTTTTCATGCTGAAGAGACATGAGATAAAAGCTGTATAAAGGTTAGAAAATGAGCCCAGACAACACTAACTATGCTGTGTGCAGACAAACCCAGAACATGAAAGGAGACAGGCAGCTTTAATGTTTGGTACACACACTCTGGTATCATCTTTCGAGTTCATTGCAACACCAATAGTACAAGCAGTGAGATGCCTGGAGTGACCAGATCCAAAGTGTCTTAAAGATGCTCCTAAGA